CGGACTTTCGGAGAAGTGAAAAGAATTCGTAACCTCGCTGGATTGCAGAACTTTGCGAATAACCCATGGATAATCGAGATTAACTTTGGTAAAACTATTAGTGCTCAAAAACGGTGCAGCAAATTGTGAGTAGTCTTGTTTGTCATTGTACCGCAAGCTGCAACATGAAGCAAATAGTTTTTGTTCAAATGTCCCTATTGTTAGTGTGCAAACAAGTGTAGCTTTGACTCACTAATGTATTGGCCTCAACCCACTTGCCAGCGACCCGTAGGGTCGCTAGTCTTATACATAAAGCTGAATGTCTGTATGTCTGTATGTCTGTGTGTACGTATCGTCGATTCGTTGGCCGTACGGACTGCTCAAACGCTACGGACCACGCGCGGCGCGGTCAAAATGTTGCGAGAGCACGATTTTAACAATGGCGAGTTTGTATCGGAGCAAGCGTTTTACCTCGAGGCGCATGCTCCGCGGTTATGTCCAGTCCGTACAGATCCGTACAGACAACGAATGGACGATATGTGCGGAATAGAAATTTTTATTTCTGGACCGATTTAGACCAAACTTGGCACACAGTCATAGGCTACTTTTCGTCATCGATTAATATCGATTTTATCGATTTTTATCGATTTTTTTGCAGAGTTCACCTACGGGGCTGGGAATTGGCTCGGGGGGGGGGGGGCAAGTGAGCATTGCGATTCCGAATACAATATTAGTTTCTAGAATTATCGATTACTTTTATCGATTTTATCGATTTTTTGCAAAGTTTGAGCTACGGGGCTGGGAGTTGGCTCGGGGGGGGGGGGGCAAGTGAGCATTGCGATTCCGAATACAATATTAGTTTCTAAAATTATCGATTACTTTTATCGATTTTATCGATTTTTTTGCAAAGTTTGAGCTACGGGGCTGGGAGTTAGCATAGGGGGAAGGGGGGTAATCGAGCATGCTGATCACGAATAAAATATTAGTTTTTGGTACTACACATTACTTTTACCGATTTTATCGATTTTTTCAAAATTTGAGCTGAAGGGCTGGGAGTTGGCACAGGGGTAGGGGGTAAGTGGGCATGCTGATTTCGAAAACAACACAGGAAACGGGAAATGAAGTGTAGAATTGGGCACAGGGAAAAGCTGTACAGGGATAGGGATGGGAATGAGACCTTTATTACAGTGTTTTGAAAGGGCCGAGCGGAGCCGGGTAAGCAAGCTAGTGTTTAAATAAAGTTTTAGATCATATTGGACTGAGAAATCGACGTTACAAAATAGATACTTGGAACTTTATGGGTTAAGAATTTTTCCTGATTAAGGCAACCGCCAAAGCTTCGCTCGTTTCTAAAAGCTTGAGGTCGGGATATCTCGCCTACACCTTTACAAAGAAACTTAGCTATTTACTGCATGAAGAATTCCAAAATTTCAAAGCTTGGGACTTTCTGGTCTATCATAAATAGGCTCAAAAAAGCGAACAATTTTTGATTTCTCGTTTTTTTTTCTTTTCGCAAAACTCCTCCCTTAAGTTTTTTATACAAACGTATACTGCGTCTACAAGGTTAGCTGTTTAGCAGCCATAACAACAAAACTTTACGGGAGCTGTAATCTCTCAAAGACGGTTTTCAAAAGAAAGTTTTCGGTTTCCTGACGCATGGTTTTCTTCCCGTTTGCGATAACAGTATAAGCGGCAGTGCGCTAGGTTACGAAAGGTTTACTGGTTCTGAAGGTCTTGATTGCATTCGAAAATGTGAAGGCTAAATGAAGTTTTAGCTTTTCAAATAAAACTTTGCAAAACGGACACTATTTTTGAAACAACTTGATAAACTACGTAAACCTTTTGAAATAACTTTGTAGAAGCAAATGAAATCCGAAAAAAAGAGTATAAGTGGATTCCACTCTTCGAAAGCTATCGAATAGTATAGAACATGTGGAAGCTTGGTGGTTTTTTGCTGCTGCAAGGGGGTGTGAACGTACTCAGTTAAGTGTGCTCAGTCCCGCTCCCCGATTCATGCGATTCATCACACACAAAGATTGCGGACGTATCGGCGTCGTTCTGAACAGGCGCTATACTTTGAACCAAATCGAATAAATATTCGAGTATTCAAATAAGTATTCGAATAATTTTATTTGAACTCGATTATCCAAATTTTTAAGATCTCGATTATATTCGATATTTGCTTTTTTGAAACTTGTCAGTTTCAAATTTATTCGATTATTCGGTTATTTGAAAATTTGATTTTTGAAGATATTCGTACATTCGAATATCCACTCTCAATGTTTATTCAATTATTCGACATTTTCGTGTTATTAAATAACTACATGACAACGTCACAATTTTGATTTCTATAGTAGCAAATATCGTTTGTGTTCAAGTTGCCCACTATATCTAGTTCTTCATTGTGCTATTTAGATTAGAATTTCTTTGGATGTAGACATAGTCGATGCAAAGTATTCGTTTATTCAAGTTTTTTTCTCGAATAAAATCGATTATTCAAATTTTTTTCGAAAATATTCGATATTCGATTATTCGACAATTTTCCTCTTTCGAAAATATTTGATAGCCCTATACTACTTCGATATTTGTCATTTTTGCTCTTCGAAAATTCGATATTCGGATATTCGACATTTTTTGTTTTTGAAAATACTCGAAATTCGACTATTCGATATTTTTGATCTTCGAATATAATCGATTAATCGATTATTCGAAAAAAAATTCGAATATTCCGAAGTATAACAGGCGCCCTTTCCCTTCTCTTACCATCTGCTATCTCTCCCATGTGCGAGCTATCTCGGTTGGACGCAACGGCGCCCAGTTGCGTGTCATGAATCGCCAATACGAATTTATTCCCAACAATAAATCAATAATCATTGTATTAGGTTGGTGCAATAATGTCCTTTTGCAAAATTTTATTCCAAAAAGCTATAACTTTTTTCACTCTTCAAATTTATGAATGCATAAAGACCATCAGAAGCAGCAAACTCTTCGTGGAAAGCTCTTGGGAATGGTACCGCACGTCAAAAACAAAGTTATTAAACCTCTCTTTGAGAGGTTATAGCTCCTTTGAAGTTTTGTTCCTATCTGCTAATCAGCTTATTTTGTAGACGCAAAGTACTTTGTGTGGAGAAGACTTCAAGAAATGCGCTCCGCGAAAAGAAAAGATAGAAATCCAAGATTGTTCAATTTTTTGAGCCTATTTGTGGCAGGCTGGAAAACTCAAATCTATGGAAGTTTGGAATTCTTCACGCACTGAATAGCTATCTTTCTTGCAAAAATTTTAGGCAAGTGTCCTGACCTAAAGATACAGAAGTGAGCGAAGCTTCGGCGATTGCCTTAATCAGGAATATTCTCAACCGACAGAATGCCAGGCAGCGAGTCTCTTTTGGGCATCGAATTCTCAGTCCAGATACATTCGAAAAATTTATTCAAACATGAGAGGAAACGACTACTTTCTTCAGAAGAATCTCAAGAAAAGCAATTGCTTCTGCTGTGATGATTGTCCTACCGTCTGGTCGCATTGTTCTCATTAGATCAATGTTCGTCTGTCTCATAAACTTAGCGCGGATAAAAAAAAAGGTCCGGTGTAAAGGGAAAGGCAATCTGTAAATAAACGGTGCGTTCTCCCTATGGGATAGCCACAATAAAAAAGGGGGCTGTAGATTCGATAAGTTGACCAGTAAGTGCCATCTATGGGTGAGTAATGCAAGTTTGCTTAGACTTCCACAGTTTCAACTTGATCAAAGCAATCATTACCTCAGCTTTGGCACACTACTTTTGGCTTATGCAGCTTGTACATCAGCTTGCTACCTAATCTACCATCTTTGCGTTGAATAACTTTCGACCTTGAGTTCGTGATTAGGGTTACTCTTGAATAGCATAACTTCTGCTAGCGTTTATGGCAAAAATGGCTCATATGATTCTTTCCCAAAATTCTCACTCTGAGTTCCAGTGATCTACTGCACGCCATCAAGAAGACTGCTTATAATAATGGCAACACCGAGAAGTTAGTATATATATTGCTGATGCAGTATGATGACGAGTATTTCGCAGGATAAAACACCTGTCCTTTTTTACCTGTATTTATGTGGAAGTCAGGTTCAATTCCTCGTGTGAAGGGAGTTCATCTTTTATGGCAGTTTCAAATGTGAAAGAACGCAACATATCGTTCGACTTACGTTGGTTGTAAAAAGCGAAATAAAGTGCTCAGGTCCTCGGACACTCGCCTTAAAAGTGAACAGGTTTCAATGACAAGGAAACATAAGCAGAAGCAAGAACTAGAAATGCCAGCTTATTTGAAGCTTCCCAACTGTTTAGCATCTAGAATCGCGAATATGATCACTTACAAAGAGCTTCACAGGAAAGTTTACACATACAAGAATAATGCAGTGAAAGACTGTCACCTGTAAGTTTTGCCACTTCCAACTCACCTGCTGCCGCTATCTCGGCGACATTATCAACAAGTCACTCCAACGTATTAACAAGCTTACTCTAGAAAAAACTTTCGTAGCATGTATAGCTCGGATGTTGCACATCTGTGCCTAAATTGCGCACTAGAACACTTGATGCCCTCCGCGCCTGTCGAATCTGCTCTTGCTTTTTGAGAAAGTTATAGGGTGTGTGCAAACACTGAGCAGCAGTCCCGCGCGGAAGCGAGATTTGCACTGGGCCATGGGGCGCACTCTTCGCAGCCATTTGTAACTATGGGAGGTGCCAGAGTAAGCGAATATTTTGTTCAGGTTGGGGTCCCGCGCAGAATGGACGTCACTCACCATGCTGGCATCAATCCAAGTGACGTCAATTCTGCGCGGGACCCCAACCTGAACAAAATATTCGCTTACTCTGGCACCTACCTATATGTACAGTCTGCCCCAATCGGGACCAGGCCGAACCCTCGGCTGAATTTGCGCGCTCGCAGCACTGGGGGCTTGCGCTGCATACGCGCGCTGTCGCGGAGAGCGAAGAGATTGAGGAGAGAGCAGACTAGCTAGACGCAGGAGTGGCGCGAAACCCTCGCGACGCGCACTCCCGCCAAGCCAATTTTGGCCTGGTTAGGATTGGAGCAGACTGTAGGTAGGTATTACGAGTCACTGTTGAGCGCATCGAAAGCTCACCAACCTCAAGTTGGTTAACGGTGCCTCTGAACAGTTGGTGACAGGCGGGAAACTTGTGTCTTACGGCATACCCGCAATATTTCGGCCTCTTCGGTGCTGGTTCAAATTGGTAGATCGTTGCCTAATCATGCAGTGACTTTACCTAGCCATGGATTTGAAAGCATATCTACTTTTCTTGCTGTGGAAGCATCTGTGAAACAAAGTGGCACACGACATACATACAAATTATTTTGCGAGGGGCTCGTTCTTGGTTGTTACATGGCTTTACTTGCCACACCCACTGCTTGACCAGAAATATATCTAGATGCTATGCTGAATCTTACAGTAAAGTCGTCTAGCTCATGATTCAATATTGCTTCCCAAAATCATACTCCTACTTTCCGGCCTGCTTCGCGAAGGTCTCGGTCCAATATGAAGGTGCGGGATGTTACCGAGCTTCCGCGGGAAGTCCACTTCTCAAACAGCGACTATTGCGAACCAAGTAAGTTTTTTGCTATTCATTTTTGCATTTTAATCATTTTTACTCTATCATTTTTCTGCTGTTCACGTATATATCAAGTTTACATAGAACTCGCCCATGTTTAGTGTCATACTATCAAGTAAAAATAGTAGCAGGTAGTTTTTTGCCGACCTTTTGCAACTTTCTTCACTAGTCATTCCATAATAATAAACAGGAATATTTACATCTACAGAAACAAAGCTTCTATTTATTAGAGCTCAAAATTCCTTGCTCATCACTCATCGGCCCTTCAAATACGTACTGCAAGTAGATACTTCGTAAGCTTGACTTTACGTTAACAGTTCACATTATTTTTTTCGCGTCACTATAATCGCGCTGCCTCTACCTCCACTGTCACTTAGAGCTGGTAATGATGAAGCGCAAACGGGTGGCAATTGAAATTTTGCAGGTGAAAGGTACATCTACCAATACTTGTCACGTATGGCAAATTGTCCCTCCATCGCTAGACTTCCAAAGCTTTCGCGGAACCATGTTTTAAGATGGTTTTTGCAAGTCAAACTTTGTCTAAAGTAAGTACCTAATCTCTTCGTCATCGCAGTAGCAAACTCAAAGTTCTATCAAATCTGTCAACGCTCCGAGCTTAGTTGGTTTCAGTTGAAGGTAGCGTCCAGGCAAATCTGGACATATGGGGATCTCACGTGGACAGTAATTTTGGGGCTAACTAAGAATTACCCAACCAGTAGCTCAGATGGTGTTCTAACGGCTGAGATATTCGCCTCCAAACTGGCCCCAGGATCGGATTCATATATTCATGGCGCGACACATCAGTGTCGCGTGGGTCCTCGCGCGAAAACCTGCAAACATGATGCAAGTCCGATATACGATCCTGGGGTCCACTTTGGAGGTGTATATCTCAGCCGTTAGTGAGTTATTTGCGCTGCCGCTTGGGCCGTTCCTTAGTTAGGGCCGCAAAAGTTTTTCCACGAAACTTTCCAGATTTGCCAGGACACTGCCTTTAATGATGCATGAGTTTTTAGGTCGCAGTTAGCGAGCGATTTTTGCTTTCCTTTGCTAACGTGCTTTTCTAGACTCCCACTTTGTAGCGTGCTGAATTTTGATGTGAAATTGAATTATAAGCATCATCCTCAGTTCGCAATAACGGGAAAAATAGTCTACCATTATCAATAGGGACAAATCTTGCCAGCAGGAAAGGTTCCGTAAGTAATAGTCAGACTTTGCTGCTATGAGATGTACCTCCATTGAATTTGCTCTAGATTGCTGCTCTCAATCTAGAGCAAATTTAGCAATTTTGCCATCTGTATGTACTTGGTGACGGTCTTCTTGGTGAAATCTTGGGGTTTTGGCTTTCGAGACGCAGACTATGTCAGAATGACAGTCTCTTGGCAGTACACCTTCAGATGAGCTGTGCCACCCGGTGACCCACCTCATGAAGATGTACGCCTAAGCTGTGGCTGTCACGACGTCCTTCACAGCCTGCGTCTCGACAAGTTAGCTTACATGCCATGGATTGATTCTGACCGAGTAGCGATCTCTCCAGCTTATTTTCTTACATACACACCTCACAAAAAAGTTGCGTTGTGAATTATTACACGTTTACCACATGATCATGCTATCCAGAATCAACGGAGCTCTGAAATACAGCATAGTTTGGTAAAGTTGTATTTGTTACAGCCATATTGTTATCACATGACGGTCACGGCAGTTTTGATTGTTTCCTTTCACTTACGTTGATGCATTCTAAACGAGAGACTCTCAAACTGGTATCAATTATCCTCTTGATTGAATAGGAAGTAGTACTTGAAGAGTGGCATGGGGTACTTTGACTCTTGACGCGCTGTTATTCAGAGTCCGCTGCTCCTCCGGTGACACGATTTGCGCTTTTGGTCAACACTGTGATCTTTGAGCTAAGAAAAGCAACTATCAGACTCAAATGTAAAATGGCACAGTTAGCCAGGCGAAATTTTCTCGATTTGGAACGACAGAGAGAAGAATTCCGTAACTCCATTTCCTACATGTGAGTTCGTTATGTACACTTATCCTCAATAGGTTTTCTCTCAAATTGTTCGCTGCTAGGGAATCCAGCTTCATGTGGGAGCTGGGTGTACAGCTCTCCTCAGTCATCCCATATACGGTTTATTCTTCCTCTAGTTGGTTACTGGCCGCAAAGAAACTCACCGATCTTGATGATGTTTCGATATTGAGTATTTTGGTATTTTTAGATGGTAAGTGTACATGTTACTAATGCTTTCAATCAGTTCTCTGCTGCTGAATATTGCCCTGAATATTGTCTTGCTCAAGCCTTATCCGATCGCGCAATCGCGCCTTTTGACGTCTCCCGGGTGTCTATACGTAGCGGTGGCAGCAACGCACTTGATGCGTATCGTTCGCAGCGGAGTGGCGCTGCTGCCTCTCACTGCAGCAGCTAAATAAAAAGATCGTGTGCATACTTAGCGAGTCATTTTTGAGCATAGCTGCACCACGCTGCTCTTGCTGATCAGCGCTGCAACTGGATTTGCAGCCAACTTCACTTTTTGTGAGTTTATCTCAGCTGTTTGGAGCTGCCATTAGATGTTTTTGCTCGAAACTACTTATTTTTATCAATATCCGAGCTGCCAAGGATATTCAAGAAATTAGGAAGCCTCTGACAATGCAGCCAAATAATTGACCTCCAGTGGACGATCATGATCATGCCTGGAGGGACCTGTTGATTGTGCTGGGACATCCACGACCCGGTAAACAGTTAAACGTAGACAATACAATCAAGCAGCTACTAGTCCTTACATATGCTCGTATTATCGGGCTACTTTTCCGGCATGACTACTGGCGAAAACGGAAAGACAAAGGACGTTTCAAGAAAAAGAATAGTTCCTACTTCTGATTTAGAAGGTTTCAGGCAAATCTTGCCTTTTTGAAGTAACGCACATCAACGACAGAGCAGTAATATCGGATAGCAGCCGCTTGCAGCGCTGATCAGCTACGACTTCGCTGCTCGTGGGTTTTGTCCATACTTTTGCAGCAAGGTATGTATCAAGCCTAACGGTAGACCGGGTGCCAGCAAAGCGCACTGGCATATATCTATAACCATACTGGGGTAGCGTATGTATTAGGTGGGTCCGAAAGTTTTGTCAGTTTTTTCAATCCATCGGCAAACACGCAAGAATGAAGATAAACATCTCCAAAATGCATCCAATGCAGAATTTCTTCCTCTTTCCAGCTGCTAAACTCCCATTGTGGTTCGTTGCGAAAGTGACGAGATATTTGTTGGAAATTACAACCACTCGTTTTTACCATGTCCAAATTCCAAAATTTTTGTATGAGACTTTCGAAGGAGCCCTAATAACCAGCAGATAAAGCAAGCCTTTTGCCAACAGATGCAGTTTTTTGTAGCCCTACGGCTTGTCTTTCAGAATTTCTACGATTTATTGTTTGAAGTGGCCAAATATTACAATCGGCTTATTTTAACCTCGTAGAACACAAAATGTTAAATCGTTCAGTCACCATACGATGCAAATTTTTCTCCTCTGTAACATTTGTCTTTTTTTTGCCGAGACAGGCGAAATTTGTGGGAAAAATCGCAGTATTTCTCAATTTCAAGAGTGCACACTGACGTGACCTATGTTTCAAAATCTTCATAATTTAAAGCGAAAATCGCTCATTTACTTCGTAATAGTAGCGGTAGTAATAAACGGGAGACGGTCAAGAGGCGCGATTTCTTCGGTTGTCACCAACTTGAAGATCTAGTTTAATGCTATGCGAGTCTTCAAAAATTATCAGATAAAGTGCATTAGCTTACTTTCTGTCTGGGGTCACCACTTACTGAGTTTCATGGTTTTTGCTACAAATCGGACTGAAATATTAGGTTGATTCATAATTAATGCACGTTTTCTATATTTCAACTTTCGACCAAGATAATTCTTTTTTCAAGGAACATATCTGGGCGCAATAAAAACTGCTGTAACCACCAAATCAGTGGCTATAAAATAGATACTTTTGCGTGACTGTATCTAACACAAAAAAGATTTTTGGCCCGAAGAGTGCCAACAACTTTTTTCAGAAGCCTTTACTTTGAGAGAGCATAATTTATGTTTAAATGAAGTAGGATAAAGCAGACTTCGCTTATCGTGTAGCCAAGGGTCTCTTGAGCAGTAATGCCAAGCTTGAATTCTGCGGAAAAAATGTAGAAGAAAATATCGCGAAAAAGTCGAAAGTACTCACTTTTTTCTGGCATCTCGGCGGGTTCAAAAATCGATCATTTTTGAAGTTATTTCATTTATCTCCGCTAAAAAGTGGGAAAACCCTAGCGCTTTTCTACAAACAAATGAACTAGGTCTACCCTTGCTAAATAGTGCAAAAGACCTGCAATCGCCAATTGCTTGAAAGTTTTATATGCCACGAAAGGGCCGCGACCATTATTAAAGTTCGCAAATGAATTTCTCGGCTCAGAATTCATGGAAAATTTTGTTCAAAAAGCATCTTGTAGCGCAAAGTTCCCTGATCCTTATGCATATTTTCTATAATCAATTCGGCTATTCCTCATGGATTTAGAGCAAAAAGAGTGAAAAGCAAAAATTTTGGGATTTAGTCTCTCTTATTTGAAGGCTCAGAACATTGGAATGAACGGAGATGTACGAAAGCGAAGGCCCACATAAGAAACTAGAAGAAACGCTCTTTTAGAATGCGTAAAAAGTTTTTGAGGGAATTGATTACACGTCAAATACCAGCTCTTGGAAGAAGAGGTAAGAAAAACGTGCATTAATTATGAATCAACCTAATATTTATGAATTTGTTTTGAAATGCATTTTCATGAGTTTTTGGCCTTCAAAATTGCTGTTTTGAATTTTTTCTAAAATATCAAGATTGAACAACTTATGCAACTATCTAACATATCTTCTTCTAAATCTCGTATACTTTTAGAAAGTTGCAGAGCACTTGTTATGTGCTATTTGGTGTCCAGCTGGCAATAAAAATCGTGCCTCTTGACATACACCCGTAATAAACTTGTGCTGAAACCTCAGTTTTCTGTAGGTTTTGCTGTGTTTGGTGCAATAACAGGTTATGCGATTTTTCCAAAACACAAGACTTATATAAAATTATTTAGCAAAAATCTGAAAATGCAGCTGAGAGAAAGGAAAAAATTGCATAAGTTGGCAAAATGTTTGCCCTATCTGATGGTTATTAGAACCCCTCCGAAAGTCTCATCCAAAAATTTTGAAAGTTAGTGAAAGTTGGACACGGTGAAAACGAATGGTTGCAATTTCCAGCAAATATCTCATCACTCTCGCAACGAAACACAATGTGAGTTTAGCTACTGGAAAGAGGAAGAAATTCTGCATTGGATGCATTTTGGAGCGACTGTTTATCTTCATTCTAGCGTGTTTGCCGACGGATTGAAAAAACTGACAAAACTTCCGGACCCACCTAATATATTCGCGCAGTAACAAGTCTTTATTTATTGTGCTCTTCCTTTCTATTTATCTTGCAAACACAAATAGATATCAAGTATCATCAAAACACAGACTCAATCAATCAAATGTTGCGCTTCCGATAGGTTGCTCTACTGGGTTGCATATACGCCAAAAAAGCTAACTCGCTAAAAAAATCTGCTCTATAGTTGGCAGCTTTGTTGTTATGACACTGCCTTTCAGGGTCTGAAATACTAGCAGTAGCACAAGTCTGTCATAAACTGCGCAGCATTGTAAAGAGAAATTTGAATACTCTAGAAAGAAAGAAGGTACTTTGAAAGCTGTGAATGAGTTTTTCTTATCTTTTTTCAACATTCGTCAGTTAGTTTCAGTCCACCCTTTTTGATGTGTACATCGCTCTCAATAAAGAAACAGGGCGGGAGGATGTTCGTGCATTGAAGCGCAAGCGTCTCTTGCAGGATCCCTCTTACAATGGTGCTTCACTACGTGACGTGGTTCCTCCTCTTATAACTTGTCCACTTCGCGTGAGTTATTGGTCTTGTTCATAGTGAAAGGTGAATTAATTCAGATCCTATATGGACTAATTAAGATTTTCTTCGGGAACAAAGTTTTGGTGGGCCACTGGATCAGCGAAATCAGCAGCCTGTATAGCGAAAAACGACTGCTTCCCATATCACTTACCTTCACTGGCGGCTCGTTCACTAGAGGTGTATAAGTTTACGTGAGCACGCTTATAATTGTTGACTTTTTTCCTAACTGATTTTTTATATTCTTAACACGTTTCGGACCGCGAAATCGCGCGCGGCGAAAAAGAGTGTACTTTCAGCCGTTAGCCTACAAAGGGACCTTATTTCGCAGCCTGTGGGCCATATTTGTAATCAGCATGTTAGATAAGCTCCATATCCAAAGTTCTGAGTAAATTCGAAGTGTTTGAATTTTGTCGCTTGAGAGAGTCTTTTGTGCTTTCTTGAAAGATAGGAACAAGAACTCAGATTCTAATAGTATTCAAAGGTATCTATGTTGTACACGGCACACATCAGTATTGAAACTACGGGCTTTCTCTTTGGTATCGAAGCAAAGGAAAGTTGCGACGTCGCACGCGTCGTTCGCGTCGCCGCACTTCGTTGCAATTGTTGTTCGATTTGTGCTCATATCTCCTAAACAAATATCGGAGGCACAACTCTACAGAGTCATTTGAAAAGTAGGAGGTTAGACCTTTAACTTAACAACTTTAGACTAAAAGGAAACCTCCTGCAAACGCCAGAAAGATCCCTCAAAGCAGCGTGCTGCACCATGTGCAGCACCGGTCCGAAACGTGTTAATTAGCTTTGTTCAGTAATAACTGAAAAAAATACTTCTCATTTCCTCTTTTCTCACTTGATTCGATAAGCATCCTTTCTCTTGTGCTGCTAGCGGCAAGAAGCCTTTTTGTTATACCTATATTGATTCCAGATTTCCTATTCCATCGAAAAAAATATTCAAGCAATTGTTTATTACTGTAGGCCATCCGTGTGCAAAGTTGTATAGTTCATAGTTATATAGTTCATTGACAATTACCAATAATAAGCTCCAACATTTCCATTTTAGGCACACATCGTGCTGGGGCGGATCTGCGATGCTTCACGGAAACCGGCTTCATCAATTTCATACGGCTGCTATCACCAGATTTGAAGGAAGTGCAGTTAGCCACTTCAAGATAAGCACTCTTCATCCTTTTTTCAAGCATAACCAATCTCAGTTTTTGTTCGTTATTTTTAGGCTATTCAAACTTAGCTTCACTCCTCGTTTTCTATTCTCCATGATTAATATGCTGTCCGTGTTCGGAATAGTCTACGAACGGCCCCCTCTTCGCTACTTCACAGGGGATTTATGTCAAGTCATACAAGTATGCATCTTCTTTACTGAAGACTGCGCTAAGCAGCTATTTTTCCAGACATGGCAGAATAGCTCACGATCTCATACTTGTGAAGTGTACATCGCACGTCCTCATGGATCTGAAGAAATGGTTTGGTCACAGTATGGAGGGACCGATGTTCAAAACACTAAAGTGAATCTTATCAGGATACCGCACGCCTTTCTCGAAGGTGTTACGCTCACTTTACATTTACATTAGTCGTCACTATCCGAAAATGATGGCTTTTGCGGGTCCGCGAATAGGTATTGCTAAAAACATGGGAGTTTCTTTACGTTTTTCTTCATTTCGGAACAAATTGCTTGCTTCCCGGTTCGCGCGTCGGGTCGTTGTCGTTTACCTCTTATAGTTTTCTTCGATCTCTTTTTTTTGCATGCAGTCGCAATTTTTTTACTTCACTTTATGTTCAGGGAAAATGTGTGGAAATCAATGAGGTAATTTTAAGTTGTAAAACTTACTTTTAAAGGATTGTGAACTTTACTATTACCTTAAAGGCAGTGTCTCACCAAAGTTGAGGTCGCGCGGATCTTCACATATTCTATTATAGGGACCTCTAAATAGGCCATTGCAACAAGTCCCACTCAATTTGTCCCCCTCCACGCTGAGAAGAATTTGCTCAAAGTGGTACGCGGAGAGCGATTTGTACGCGCGTTCGACTCTTTCGTTCTCCCCCCTACGCGTTTGAACAGGCCCCTCCACTTGGCATTCTCCCCCCCCCCCCTCTGTTGCTGCACTGTGGCTGAGGCTGAAGTTGAAAGGTACAGCTCGTCCACGTTGCTTCCGCAGGGCCTCCAGAAAACGGGGTTTTTGGGAACTTCGTGCGATAAGCCCATACAATGCTAGAAAGGGTCCGACAGGCTTGAAAATGCAAAAATCTCGGCAACTAAATTTTGGTGAGGCACTGCCTTTAAGCAGGCTTCAGACCGCGTCGCAATCACCCGAAGCTGATATGAGGAATGGGGGAGACAAGCGGTGCGGTCTGAAGCCTGCATTATTACTAGTTTTGCTAATTTGAGGTGTGTTTATAAATGTTGAACTCAGTGCGACGTTCTCCATGTCGTTTTTCATACCTCCTACGAATAAAAATGTGAGTTTTTCTCATAGAATCTCACACGTAGTCACTTATGGTATTCACCTTAGAAAGAGATAGAGATAATTTTTCGGGAATCCAGCTCTACGACAGTCCCTCTCCTTTTGGGCATTGGTTGTACTTCAAGCGATTCGACCAAATTGTTCGCCACGCGATCTGCCAATTTTCCGCATGTTTACAGATTCACCACACTCGAATTCCAAATGCATAAGCGCAAAGCTTTCCAAGCTCATGCAAACCTGCTAAGTCGAAACTGCAAAAATTGTTTTTACCAAAAGTTATGAGTGATTAAAGCAATCCAAGTCGCGCTGCCACTAAAATCGCGCGAAGTATGGCCGATGCTCAAAATTCGCGACTCTGTCATTTTGACCTTAGAGTATCTCTTTTTTGTTCAAGTAGTGACGCACTGTTAACCGTGTTGCCTCAAAAGTCATTGTTTTGAAACATCTAGAACTTTTGCAGAAGATTCGGCTAAGGCTTGATATGGCAGATTCCTGTAGCCTTGAGAAGAGGTCGCTGTTCTAATCGCGGGTCGCATCTGTTTTCTTAAAATTAAGATAGGCTTCACAATGGAATCCTACACTAGGATCGGCAGAAGATAGGATGTTCGTCAGTTTACAAAATGGAATCTCGCTAGCGGCCTAAATGCCGTAGTCCTGTTTTCTATATGATTTTGAGTAACCTGTTTAAAGGCACCGTCCATCCAAAATGTGGTCGATGAATTTTGATGCCTAACAGCAATGTGGCCCCGAACTGTATACTTGCCCAACTCGCGCTGCCAGAAGTTGCTTCCGAAGCGAGAAAATTGCTTCAAAAATCGCTTTGGATGACGGGTTCGCCACGTTGACTCCTCCCCTTTGAATGGGCTGACGTTCGTTCCGCCCATTTGAGCGCGAATAACCAATCACCGTTCCGCACAACTCGCCTGAGGGTTCTCCGAAACGGGGTTTGTCGGTGTTTTCGCGGATTCTCGACTTGATATCCGGGATCAGGGACACGAGAAGGCCCCGGAACAACAAAAACATCGAGGTCGAGAATCTGGGTGGACTGTGCCTTTAGAAGCCTACATCAAAAACCAACTCATCTTTGATGCGGCAGTGTGAGCTCTTCGCAGCCGAAAAACTGTTATCTAGAAAAAAGTGTCTTGTTTGTTTCCCATTTACAGTTGCCGTAACTGTAGTTACAATAGGTAAGATGATCGGTAAAACGCGTGTTACAGTCCGTGTCAATCACATGCTCCCTTTCCCATATATGCAATGAGCTTCGCGCCGCGTTCGCGCGCGTATGACTGATCGTTCAAATGGGCCTATCGGGTGGAGGACTATATGTCGCCGAATGTAAAAGGGTCTCCCGCGGTTTCTTGCAGGAACGCATTTCCGCGCACACAAGGGTGCGCACCTATTTGTTGCAAATGAACGCGGGGATCGCCCCTTTTCGGCGACATATAGTCCTCTACCCGGCCTTATCGATGGAGGTCCGCGCACAGGGCCCTTGCGTTGCGCATGCGTAGTTCCCATAAAGGGAGTACGTAATTGCCATTGACTGTACCTTTCTGGAAAACGCAGTCGCATTGACTGAAGTCGAGTGCAAGTCACAGTTTCCACTAAAAAAATTGCCAGAACATCAAACAGGACAGCTGTTTCGTGATTATCCGTTGCAGTTCAAATTCTCATATTACTGAACCATTATGAAACGGGCATTTGAAAACTCGCGTTCACATTTAAAGTCGTGTTATAATGATTTTGAAATATCCTTCTATACATAAGGATCTGCTCTAAATTTCACTCCCCGTTTATTGTCGGCAATTTAATCTTTGAGAAATGCCACGCACCTTATGTGTGAACGTTTTCTTACTTTTTCTAATCAAATTACCAGCCCGAAAGGAATACGCGCATTTTGTACTTTTTGTCGATTTTTGAGATTTTGTCCAGCACGTCTCAACGGCCATCTTTCTGCGGCTATCGGAGCACGCTCGAGTTTGCAACCAGTTTAAGTTTGCATAAAAAATGGGCGTTTATCCCGCTTCAATCCGCTCTTTAAAAAGGTGTCATTCACAGATAATTGCTCGCTCGCTACTTATCGGAAGGAAATAAAAAAGAAGAACAAATGACGCCTCCCTCCCCCCCCCCCCCCGGCCCTCTGGAATTGCATACTTCGTGGCTATCTAGGGATCTTAAGACTGTGATATCACATAAGTTGGATAGAAGTGTTAAGTCCAGGTTATTGTAAGGGTTTTCGCTGACTACACATCATCAGTCATAAATTGTCAAGAAAAAAATTACCGATTCCACCGGAGTTCACCGGAATCTGCTCGCATCTCCATATCATGGTTCAGAGTGGATAAATTTTGAATTCAAGGGTACGCTTGGACTCAGTTCGTTTACTTTGAACCAAGAATGGTGATGTGACGCATGTTTTTGTGGGACCCAAAGCTCGAGAATTTTCCATGCGAAGTCTCGACAAATTTCGAAATAGGGCCTTCAGTCGTGATTATCGTACCTTTACGGAATCTCGTCAGCATGTTTAATTATAATTTGGTGAAGGGAATAGGTAAGGGACGCTGCCATTTTTTCGTGATGCAGATAACATTTGCGCATACAAACAAATTTTGTTTTTGCACTGCTACCACAAGAGATATGCTAGTACTTTCAAGTCCATTAGTGTTTTTTTTTCAATCCTTCAATATTCATTTGTGTAATTTGTTTATACATTCGTAAATTAATCTATTTTGCCGAATGCTAATCTTACTTCCGCTAAGACATCGCGGCATAGATGGTGGACCTATTCTCAAGATGGAAAAATTACCACGCTTAAGTGGCGTACCGAGGGGAGGGGGAAGCGAAAAGAAATCGTTCGGGATATGATAGCGCATGCACAGTAAAATTGATCTTGCTATTTTTGTGTATCCGAAATTGCGCAAAAAAAAAACGCATTGCGATAGACCCTTGTACATGGTCAGAATTTCTGAAAAAGTACAATCCGCATGTCACAGTGATAGAAGGTTGTTGTAGAAGTTATGTGGTATCCGCAGAATAAAGATGTCATTTTTTTTGTCTTCTTGTCATTCTTCGAAATGTCACTCTTTTCTTCAAAGAGTGACAGAGACAAGTCCAACGAGGAAATTTCAGACAAACACTGACTTGGATTTTTCTTGTTTATCCTTCAAAGCAGTCCATCCGATTAGGAATCACGCTAAATTACAACTTTCAAGACATTGAACACCTCTGTCAAGGCTTCAAGAGAATGATCATCACGTTTCCGATCGCGTGATGTACATAGTGAATCACCGGCTTCTAAGCATCTTCTTGAATTCGAGTAATATAAGTATTTTTGAACCTTAGCAATGTCAATAGATAGATTAGAGTATAAACTTCCGATACAATCCCTCAAACCTGCGCTAGCTACATTGGTCTAGGCTAGGTGCTGGCTGATTCAAAAAAGTTGCAAATGGAGGCGGTCATGCCGTCATGGATAGATTAGTTACCCCTCAAGTTGCTTTGCATAAACTATCGGTCTCTTGTCCGGTGCAAAATAACAAATTTTTCATTTCACTGAAGCTTTGTAAATCTAGGGGTATATGTCAAGATGAACGATAGCTCGTAACAGTGGCGCGCGGGTTCATGGGAGACGGTCAAGAGGCGCGATTTCTCTGGCTGTCACCAACTTAAAAGCTCATTTCTGCACTACACAGATTTTCAAAAAATTTCTGACAAAGTCGTTTAGCTTACTAGTTGTTCGAAGTTACCATTTGCTGAGTTTCACGGCTTTTGCTGCAAAAATGAGCGAAATATTCACGAAATTGCCATTATTTGCATTTTCATAGGTTTTTGACCTCCAGTGCTTTTGTTTTGGATCTTTTTTAAGATGATGAGATCAGACAGCTCATGCAAAGATCTTCTATAACTTCTCAGAAATTTGAAAGGCCCCTAGAACATTATTAAACATTAAAAATGTGCAATTTGATGTCCAGCTGGCAATAAAAATCGCGCCTCTTGACATACACCCCGGGTTCATGAACAGGGTCAAGCAAGGGGTGTGGCACACGATCGCTGGTTACGACCCCCCCCCCTGATTGCTGTCTTAATAAGACCCCCCCCCTGAACTATACACTTAAGATAGCATTACTTGAAG